GGAAGGAAAACCAAACCAGACTGAAAGGATCAGCAACATAAAAATGGAACACAAGCACCTACAGTTTCATTCACTGACACCCCTCAGAGATGTAGAATGGAAGCTCTTAAAGAATAAGGACTCCTCGTCTGCTACACTCTACTTAAATTCCCGTACACATTTAAATAGCAGTTATTTTGTGATTATTTCATATTCTCGAGCATTGCAAAGAACAAAAATAAAGCATCAGCAGTTAAAAGAATGTACGTTAAATAAATATGAGTAATTAATTTTGCACAAATCTCTTACCTTAGCAGATTCCAGGATTTATTATAGTAGAAAATACTGTGAAAACAAATGTTCCCCTTTTTTTCCCCCTTAATTTCTCATAGTGACCACAGTAACTGAATACTGTAAAAAGTAACACTCTCCTGGAGCAGTCATGGTACTAGAAACAGCAGCATTGAACCTGCCACACCAGATCCACCAGAAGATCAAAAACACACCATGCCTCTGGCTGCTGGAAGGAAATTCATGGGTAAACACTCTGTGTGCACAGCAGTTGCCAGACCAGAGCCTCCTGGCCCTTCCACTACGTGGGATGAGTAGTATCACCTGCAAAACAGTTAAGTGCCTGGGCTCCACACGCTTTTATTTCTGAGAGCCATGGACTTGGCCAACAGTCTGCGTGAAGACGTCCAGCAATTCCCCACAGTAGCCTGCCGACAGCCTCAGCACGTCAAGACAATAGAGGGGCAGGTACGCCAGGAAGGACACGCACCTTTCTGTTAGCAGAAACCTCACAGGTCACAAAGGTCCAAGCAAACTTCTTGATGTTCTGCAGCTGTGGGCTGTAAAGGCTCTTGACAATGACGCGGAAGATTTAAATTGCCATTCTGCCTGTTGCAAATTAAATTTGGAAGTTTATGAGTAAAAAAGGCTTCCATAAAGAATGAATAATAAAAAAATTTAAGATAATTGCAATTTTGAGCATATGTTCATATAAAAGCTGTAAATACACAAATAAGATTTTTTAATTAACTAAAGTGTACGCTCTATATTCATGTCTCTGACTACAGATAGCTAGATGTTCATTAAAATCATATATGCAGAGTATATGCAGCAGGTTTAAGTATTTGGTCAGAGATCTGTTCTTAAAGAAAACCACATCAAACTAATACAGACAGAAGCTGAGAAAAGACTTAAACTACATATACAAGACTTTCAAGTCTTTATAATCTTTCTTGAGTCACTGCCACAGTGCTCACCGACTTCTTGACTGTTGAGCTGCCCTTTCCCATTCACCACACAGGGGACTTCATGGGTCACGGTACATGCAGTTCAGCCTGGGACGGGACTCAAGCGGAAGACAATTTTCAGCTCCAGTAACTACAACTCACAGCAGGGAAACACACTAGCTGAAGTTACTGTTTGGCCAAAGTAGGCATGTAGAAAATGCCTTGAGCAACTCCTGCATGAACATTGCTTTTCTGTTCTCAGGGCACTTCTGATGTGACCTCAGCTAAAATTCCTGTGCCAAAACTGTAGCCTTGTTCCAACAAAATTAGTGCTACCATCTTCCCCTTCCTATTCATATGAAGCACAGCATCTTATAGGCATTTTTTTTTCTTGAATAGCATGACTGACTTTCTTACTTGAGTAAACACATGCATGCAAACATGAAACTGAATCTGTGTCAAAGTCTTACAAGCTAAGCACTTTCTACTTCTGCTCACTCTCCTCCCAATCTTTTATTGCATTCACACTAGATCTTCTTTGTTATAATACTCTGCTGTGAACTCATACCGTTCTGAGAGACAAGTCTTTTCTAGAATTGTCTAGGCTGTAAGGACAGCCTAGATTCTTTGAAGGTGAGTCTGTAAAGGACACAGACACAGGCATGGTGATGTTCAGCCTTAAGCAGAATCCACAACCCTAAGACAAGGAGCTCAAATACCTATTAAAGGAAAAAGCCTCAGAAGGAGCATTGCAACAGCACTATAGATAAGGAAGCATCCAAATTATCATAAAACAATAAATAAAGCTGCCAAGAGAAGAGCATATTCCTTCTGGAACACAGGCAGTTCCTTACATTACAAAATTTGATACCTACCTCAAATTGAGATTCACAGCCCATAATCCCCTCCCAGAAGGAAGCAGTGGGAAGAAGGATGTGTTTGATGGATGCATGCAGATGCTACGATTTCCTCTAGAGGGGCTTCTGTCAAATTCCTACCAGCCCTGCACAGAGACACTAAAAAACAGCCCTATGGCTCTTCCTCCCCATAAAAAGTCTCCAGCGCTGACTTGCACAGTGGTTTGCAACACTTGCAACATAGGTTGCACAGTGCAGTTACACCGAGTGGCTTAGCTCTCAATTGCTCTACTTACCTTCTCCTAACCCTCAAATCTTCTGCAATTTTCCCAGCTTTCCAATGACTGTTGAAAATCCACATTACAACTTCAGAATGTTCCTTAATTAATTATTTTAATATTTCCAGATTCAAGTTATTCAATCCACCCACACATTTCCTGTCAGCAGTTGCTGTTTAAGGTACTACCTTGCTACCAATTAAGTAGAAAATATTTTATCACCGCATTATATCTCACTATTTCTTTTAGAACAGTTCCTTACAGAAGGAGCTTTATGGAATGTTTCTACCTTCCCTACAGTATAGGCATCTCAATTCCAGAGCATCAAATCTATGCCATTGCTATGGTTAATCTATTCCTTACACATACACTCACAGCGTTTCTTCCAATTGTACTAAGCCACAGCAGCAAGTAAGTACAAGTTTCTAGTACAGGCTGCCAGCTCTTCTTTAAGTTTCCAAATTTTCCATTTGCTAAAACACACAGTAGTTTCAGCATTGTTTTCACTTGCCTTCTTAAATGGAAGATGTCTTAAAATGAAATAGTCTTCTCCTGTCATTTCTGAATTGTATTTGCATGTTTACAAATAGCCTTCAGAAACAGCAGTTACTGTTTAAAACTGATGTCTCAGCAAGTAGTTATGGGGAAAGGCAAACATCGGCTCAGAGACTTGCAAGTATTACACTTTATGCATTTTTAAAAACACACCTTCAACTGAGACCACATCGGCAGCTTATATGATCACAGTATCCATTGTGATACACAGCAAATATGGGCTAATCCAAGCCATCAGTGAAGTCTACATTCCCTCCATTCTCCGTATCAGAGCATCCTGTGGAAGCCACGTAAAGAAGCTGGAAACAGGACCTGTTGTTCTGAGCCTCAAGGTGGAAACAGCCCCATCCTCTTCTAGAAGGGAGCATGCTGAATGACACTAAAAACTGCTGTCTTGTATTTACAACATTAAAACTTGTAAAATAAAACATGTTTTGGCTGACATGAAAAAAATCTAAATTCAAAGGCTTAGAAACAAATCTATCCCTAAATAACTTGTTCTTGGATGGGAGCAGACATGTTTTCTTCTAGTCCTCTCAAGCCCACCTATCTGCAATGCTTTCTGAAACACTCACCAATTCAGCACAGCTCTTGCTCTAGTTATCTACCCCACTTATCCAGGACTCTCTTTTGAACACCCTGCAAGTCTGCCTTGGGACAGCTGTTCACTGCAGAAAGGCTCCCTGCTCTTCCCAGAAAGCCATCCTCCCTGCATGGATTCGTGCTGTAGGATCCTGGCTCACGAGGTATCCTTTCGGGCTGCATGCAGAACACAATGACCAGGACAAAGTAAGTGTGCATTCATCCCTGCTGCTGCCCACCAGTGCAGCCTTCTTCAACAGGACACATAAAATGCACGAGACCTGTACAGTAAGCAGTAAAGAGTCAGAATTTGTGTCACTCAAAACTACTGCAGCAGGAGAGGGGAAGTGAAGCAGGAAGGAAGGAATGCACAGCTGAAGCAAGCCTGGGTAAAGGGTGAAAATGTACGAACGGCTCCAGCCAAAGTATATGAAGTTCTCCAAGTTCTCAAGTCTCATCCCCACCAAGGCCCTTGTTGGAGCATCTGACTGCCTCTTCCTGCCACATGATCTAATAAAATAAAGCTTGCCGCACCACCACGCCTCTCTTGGGCGACGTTGTCCATGACAGTGTTCCTCTACACCAGTACCACTGCAGGACATTGGAGGGAACGGGGGTGAGGGGGTGTTAAATGTTTGAGCCACTGGCTGGGGAACAATTGGTCTGTTCTTCAGGTGCTCTTTACTCTAGTAGCAGCAATTGTTCTACAGCTTTTTTTTTTTAAATTTCATTTTTAACAGTGCCACTTCATAGAAAGAAAGAAAAAGCAACTGTATGACTGACTCTCTGTGCATTTTGACAGTTTGAACTGAGTTATGATGTTAATGGACAGAATGCAATACTGCAAATCTGCTTCTAGGAGCTGTGCTACCAATCCCTTTGTGGTGGTGGTCTGTCAAGCCTTTGACAACATCTACTGAGTAACACTGCCTACACTGTGTTTCAACTCCAGCAACATACCCTCCATCTGCTTTGAGAAAACCTCCCAGCAGCTGCTATTTAGCCTATAACAGAGACAGAAAAATCCTACTAAAATAGCTCGACATTAGAGCAATTCAAATTCAACACACAAGCCTGAAAGAGAAAAAACATGTGGGCAGGTTTACTAGAGCAGCCACAGGGCAAAATTCAGCTCTGCACGACAGGCCAGCACCAGGGCTAGACAGTAACATTACAGAGCCAAAGATAAACAAACCTAAATAAAGAACAGGATATGCAAATAGCAGAGTAATCTACTCGATATATTATTTAATCAAGAACTTTTGTTTTGTAGTTATAAATGCACCACCATCATTCTCTGCATCACTGTATTAAAAATACCACCAAGTATTCAAAATATATAAAACACACTAAACATAACCAGGTCAAATTTCTAACCTGTACATCTTGCTAGGTAGTGCCATGAAATGCACTTGCCCTGTGTAGGTAACTGTCTTTCAGGACACAACTCAGCTGGGCAGGATGCTAAAGATTACTATAAAATAAAGGTATTGGACACAAGAACGTGTTACTGCAATTAACCAGACAATTTATTATAAAATAGTCTGCAACATGGAGGATCAAAGAACAGTTCTTCAGAAACACACTGAAACAAGAAAGTAGATCTGTTCATACAGAACATAGTTTAACGATGCCTTCATCAATAAGATGGGAATTACTGAACGAAACCAAGTCAATTACTTCAAATAGCCTGTGAATTTACACGAAAACACAAACTAGAAGGTATTAACAAAATTGTCTGTTCTTTTTAAGTCCTTGTGTGGTATCTGAGAAACAAGCATGGAAAACTTCTGAGTAAAGTTGCTTTTGGTCCATTCTACCAAAACAGACTACAGAGAAAAGTAATCTGAAGACATAGCATTTCTTTTCAAACCTGGAAAAATCATGAAATAAACTCCAATCAGTTAGTCCAGGATAGCTTTGAAATCTTGACAAAGAGATGGTTCTGTCACTGTCTTCAGTAGTGCCATTGTATCCTTTGGGATCTTCCTGAATAGCTGCATCTTACCTACCAAAATATCAGAAACAAACAATTCATTACTACTGCAAGTAACTATCAATTCTGTTTTAGGGAAAATGCTAATAAAGTAATGAAATCAATGCTAGCTGAATCCAATTAAAAAGTTGGAACATCTGGAATATGGGGATAAAAAAGCTGTAATAAAATATGCTTTTATTCTTCCGCTAATAAATAACCAGGCTAATAAATAAAAAGGTTAAAAATCGTAGTTAAAGTATTAACAGAAAACCAGGGAGCAAATTCCTCCTACTATGACCTTGTAACACTTCTTTGTTTGGATTTAAGAATTTAAATTTTTTTTTTTAAAAGTATAAGACCATTTATTCAATAACTATATCCACCAAAAAAAGCCTTCTGTGAAACCATAGTTACTTTGAAAGACCCAATTTTAACCCTTGCTAAGGGCAAGGGACAGGTCCTTATCTGGTAGCTAATGTTTACCTACAGCAGGAAGGTATTCCCTCTACTTTCAGACATGACATCAAAGTAGCCTATCCTTGGAACTGACATATACAAAAAGATTAAAAAAATAAAATCACATGGAAAATGCACCTTTTGCTATAACACTGGCAACAGCAATTCTCCCTGCTGTGTTCCCTTCTAAGAGTAGAGGGGCTAACTGGAAAGCCACTCTTAAGGTAGAAAATTTTGGAGAATAAATGAGGCTCTTAAATCAGGAATGAAATTTTTATAAGAGGACATAACAGTTTTGAAACACCGAAGGTCACTGAGTCTATTGTCAACAGAATTATAGACAATAAAAAGGACTCTTTAAAGATTAGGAAGAACATGTAAAATCCTAGCAACAGTTACCTAAGTCCGTTACCTAAATGGAGTTGGCAAAATTGTCAATCATGCAGAAAGGCAGAAGTGCTCAATAAACATTTGTTTTGTATTTGAAAAGGAGACAGATGATGTATTTATATTTTATCATGATAAGGAAAGACTCTTGCTCCTTTCCCCACTGGTAATAATAGGAGGCATGTTAAACAGTAACTATGTTTTAAATACTTAACTCTGAATAATGACGACAACTCCAACTGACAAACCCCTAATGCTGATATTAACAGGTTTTGGAATAGTGGGAAGAACCTCCTCCCCAAAACCTATGAGCTTGATATTGATTCCCACGGAGAGTAATGGAAAGGCATGTGCATGGACACAAGAAAAAAAAGCTAAGTTTATATCAATTCCTGTCAACAACATGATCTTACAGGGGTAATACGTTTTACATAGCTGATACAAACTCCAAAATGACAACAAAAATGTAGTTGTTAAGTCAACACAGGCACTATTACCAGCTTTGGTTATCTCTGTGCTACAGATTGCTGCGCCATATAGAGACACTGAGCTAACTTTACAGCAACACACCTGAGAACCAGTGACTTCCCTGCCACAGTTTCTCTGATAGCCACACATGCTAACTGATTTCCAGAAGTAAGACAAAACTTAAAATACAGTGTTTAAAATTGGCTCCGGTATCTCTACTTTACCGAGGAATAAGTATGATGCAGGCCAAACAAAACTAACTTACAAGACCGAATAAAAAATTCCCTGTTAATGTCTCTTTAAATGGATTTTAGTGCAATCCTGCAGGATTAGGAGACACAGTATCTTACTAAATTTGGAAGACAATACAAATATAAACACTGCATATAATCAGGTGATTGAAAAATAGCCTTTATCTATGATCAGAGATCTTGGAAACATGGAGACAATGATGCACATTGACACCAAGGGTATGCATATGACTTATCACTACAGATCACAAGATGTCCTTGTACAGCTTTACAGTACCAGCACGCAGATGCCTCACCTTCCCTCCTGCTCAGCCCGTGGCTGGGGCATCTGGTGCCTTCGCAGTTCCTTTTCAAGTTTGAAATTACATTTAAAACCTCAACTAACTCTTAAAGAAGGAGAAATGCAGGTGGGAAGCAAATACACATGTAGTCAAAGCACCACTCAAAATTACAGTCACTGGTAAGTCTTCAAGTTGCAAGACAAGCTGACCCCAAACAGCCACCCTCCTGACAAATCACCTAGTAGATGTTTTGGGAGCTTTCCATAAAAACAGCAACTACAGAAGCGCTCCACCACGTACTGTATCGACCCTTGCAGCACAGGTGGAACAGGGCTAGTGGAAGTACAGGTAAGATGTCAGGGGCTATAAGTAAAGAGAGATCTCTTGGAGATGGCATTCAAGTTACTTGGGCCCCACTGGTCTGTTGACCAATCATAGCAGAAGCTTCCATCTTAAAAGTTTCACAGTAAAAACAAGTCACAGACTGCAAATTGTTTAGGCAGCCATTAAGCAAAAGTCTCTGAACCCTTGATCTTTAAGCAGTGTACTTGAAGTCTCAGATATTTTCAAAAGAAATTGGGCCTTGTAGGTAAGAGACAGTTGTCTTGGCATTACGGATGTGAAGAACATATTCCGCCTCAGGGAAGGTAAGATTTATGAAAGAGCAGCTGGAAATTACTCTTTTCAAGAGAACGTCACCACTAATTTTCTATTTGCCTTTGGACTTTTCCTGCTCCACCCCCACAATACTCAGCAAGTACAACATGAATAGTTCTCCCCAGGAATTTAGGAAGCAAGGTTATTCCATTTCTGCAAGGGCAATTCTCACTGCCCGAGAAGGCAACTGACAGATGGTCAGCTTTCACTTCTTGGGTTAGAAACTGTGCATGCAGAGTTAGACCTGGACCACACACAAGTTTCAGGTCAGTATTGTGGTTAGGCAAGTGGCTGTACAGGTACAGCAGAAGGAAGCTAATGATAATCATTATTCAAACCAGGAAAATTCCACCTCTACTTCCCAGCCCGTTTTCCCTGGTATCTGTGGCGATGCGATTTTGTGGACAGCAGAGACCACTTTTATGGCAGATGCACACACCCATGGAAGATGAGATTCTGCTGAACAATAAAGCTGCCTGGGGCTGCACTGCCACCCTGAACGTACTGACAGATTCAACAGCAAAGCACGCAGAGAGAAGGATGGGGGAGCTTTGGCTTGGATTGTGCTCTGCTGGTCAAAGATCCCAAGAACAAAACCTTCAGCATTAGAGATGAAAACTGAGGTGTGCTCTATATGGATCTTAGAGAAATGACAGAGGTCCCAGAGAAGCTATTATCCTACTGGGTGTGACTATTGCATTTTCTGCTCAGTTCTTCAGTTTCTGCCCTCTCCAAGTGAAGCAAGTAGCCATCTCTTCCCTTCCTGGAGGCAGGCCTGCTTCCCCAGTACTTCTAGAAGGGCTGAACAGAACTGGCTTCTCAGCAGCAGCAATCAGACATGGTGCCTCTGGTTTTGGTGTAACTCACGGCAAGGAGTTTCTCTGGGAGAGGCTGCTGGAATTCTGCTCCATAAGGAAAGTCTATAGCTGTCAGGAACGTGGCTGGTGCAATCCCAACCATCAGTTTGTTTCCTGTAAATGTTTAAGTGTCTTCTTTGATACATTCACACTGCATTACCAAAAAAAAAATCAGACTGTTTGCACTCAGGCTTTGCTGCAAGCCTTTGATATGGGGAGGAAATGCTTACTTCCAACAGCAGAATCACTCTCTTTTGGGGGCACTGGGCCTTAGTACAGGTATCAAAGGAAACTTGCCTCACATTTCAAATCAAATGGGGGTTATTCTGGAACCAGAATGAAGAACTTCTTGGTATTGCATAACAAAACCACCCAAGTAATGACTCATTCAGAGTGTGAATTACAGAGTCAGTGCTGAGATTCTGGCCTTCACCACAGCTAAATTCAACAACAGTACTGACCGCTTCAGAAAAACCTACTGCTGTTCGCTTTTAATATCTTTGAACTGAAAATTTTATTATTTCTGCGGCTGGCCTGGGGACAGGCCGCAGCACTGGTCAAAGAGAGAGCTCCCCAGAGGCCAGGTACACAGGCAGCTTCTTTCACCGAGTCAAAGGGTCAGAGATTTGCCAACACGACTCAGCTCTACTACAATATAGCACATGCAGGGCAGCAAGTGCTTCTGTTTCAAAGTGACCCCTGTGACACTTTTTTTTTATAGTTTGCATTGCAGGAGGAACTTACTTAGTTGCCACTTAATCTACATTTTTAAAAATAGAAAACTGAGCATTCATATCTCATTTAGTTAAATCTGGTGAGAATGTTGATATGATTAACCCAATCTTATTAAGCCTTCTGAACTGTACAAACTTATTGAGTGCGAAGCATCAACAACCTCCCCATAAGAACAAGGCTCTAGACCATCCAGTGATGAAAAAAGTACCATTTTAATTTGCCTCCTTATACTTAGTAAATTTGATTAAAATCAGAAAGCTCATTCATGTACATTTTAGAACAACATTTTATGATAAGAAAACTTAAAAAAATCCATTAGATTCCAAGTTTTATTACAATTAACCATATTTCAAACTGTAAAAATAATCAAATACTTACAGATTTTTAGGGGCTTAAGCAAGCATTTGTAAACAACTTTGTGGTTTGCCAGTTTGACAGTGAAGGCATGATAGCAGAGCCATTCTGCTGCCTCAGAAGGGAACACGCCAGATGCACCTTTGTTACCTAAAGCAACCCCTAGAGATAGCACAGGGAAATAATGTCACTGAAAATGATGAGCATTAAGAAGTATGCCTGGCTTCTCCTCTCTATAAAATCACTCCAAGATTTTTTTACTAAAAACGTATGTAGTCAATGAAGCCTCCTATGTCAGCAGAGAACTAAAAACTAAAACCTGAAACATTTTAATATCTTCAGAAAGTTGAGTTTAAGAAAAAAAAATGCACTGTGAGTCCTATCATGCACTCCATATTTTTCATTCTTATCTTTATCTCAAAATTACATGATCTGACTGCACATTCAAGATGATTTATTTGTCTAAAAAAAACCCACCAAACCCAAACTTGCTACTACATTGCCATTAACATACTATACCTGCGTTTTTTGCTTTCAGGATAGCATAGCAGCATGATGCAGTCTCAGAGATGATCCTTAGGAAGAAATAAGGATTGTTTCTAACTTGCTGGTTGAATGGAAGTTGGAGAACACAGGCGTGGAACCTGTTCACAAAACCAGCCTATTTAATCACAAGTAATTTACAATTTCAAGTGAAACTATGATTCCATACCTCAGGCACTATACAACATTTAAAAGCACCCAACAGTCATTAGCTGTATCAACACTGTTAGCATACAACAACTCTTCTATATATACACATCCCTGGAGCATCAGACACATATGTTTGTTTGTAAATTTTGTGCTGAAAGATCTTGAAGCCATCTGCTTTGGTAATAGAATTCTCTTCTGAGTGCAATGACTGTCTTGTGTGCAGGGAAAGTTAAACTACATATTCTCACCAATTACATATCACAGATTATGCAGCTAGAGAACACCAACGTGAAAGAGTGCCGGAGTAAGAAAAAACAAAACAAAAGCTCACAACAAGTTCTGTTGTTCAGGAAAACAGACCTCCAAATGACATAGTGCTCCACAGACCAGAATCCCCACTCTTTTGTCTATTTGGAAGCCAATTCTATGGCAATTACTTGTATACTCCATTTCACCTCTGTTTGAACATAGTTTAAAACTGCAGGGGGCTTTTTTGCCTTTTTTTTTTTTTTTCTTCAGACTCTGGCATTATAATCCTGCTTATGCTGAATGTAGTCAACAAATTCAATGCTGATTTTTAATTACTTAACAATGGATATACTTATTAAATTAACCCAGCATAAGCATGATCACCTCAACAAATTGTAAAATTTTCAAATATTTAAAGGATAAACATAGTTACCACACTACAACACAGAGTTCTGGCTCAATTAACCTGCCATGCTGTTAGCATGGTGGACAGTTTTTCAAAGGTACTCTAACATCAAGACCTTTGTTAGAGTGTTACCATAAAAGCAAATAGAAGTAACTAAGTGATCATATCCAACATCAGAGAAAAACTGTAAGTCACTCACAACACAAAGTTTAAGAGTTTGACACATCAGTCCAATTACACTTCTTGGACACAAGGATGATACAAGTTGAATGTGGACCAAGCTGAATTTAAGAAACTAAAATGTTGCTTCCTAACAAGTACAAAGCTAGCAAAAGAGCAACACCTGATTTCTGTAAAGAGGAAAGCATCTCTTATACATTTTTGCATTAAAACAATAAACAAAATTACTTGGTGCTGCCAGTCATTCACAATCTTTGATGCACAGAGATTAGTATTTTCTCCCAACTTGCTTATCAGGTTTGATTTCTTTCCCTTTACCCTTATTTAAAACATTCACTTCCTCTGCTGGTCAAGAACACCTCACAAAAAAAACCCCAACAAGATATTACCAGCTAAGGAGCAATTAAGTCATTATCAGCAGCTAAGAAACTGCAATTAACTTGGTAGAATGAAAGGTCACTTAAGGCAAAGTTATACAGGTCAAAGTTCTATATGATTTTAATAGATACAAAGTTCTAAATATAAACTGGTTAATGAATGATAACACTTCTTGTCATCCTGCAGCAAAACAGACTGCTTTTCTTGAGGTCAGCTGTCAACAGCCAGAAAAAATGAAAATCCATTTAGTGAAGCGTCACTTAAACACATGCACATCAATATAATCCTATAGCCTGAATCTATTAATATCACATAAGAACAGTGCTGAAACAAGGATAACATGACTTACTCCTGACATTTACCACTGCACATTTTTATTGCACGTTTTCCTAATCTGTAGCTCCTCCATGTGTCAAGAAAGAGAAACGAAACATTCAGAGTTACTGCAGAAGACTGTGACCTACCTGTAAGCCTGAAGTAAAAATATCTTGTAGATGTTAATGAAAACTGTTCTAAGGCTGTTGATCTAGAATAGAACAGAAGTAGAGCTATAGGAATATTTTAGTGTCATGATATGATTTGTTCAAATTCAACAACATAAGATGATATACAGATCTAGAAAAAAAATATTTGAGGCTAAACTTCAAAAGATTTCTATTATGTACCTAAGTAACAATACTGTGAAGGATCAGTTCTGGAAGGTGCTGAGATGCCACATTTTAGTTGACGTGGACATTTCAAGTTATGTGTATTATCTCTCAAAATCAACTCTTATGTTAGAACTTAAAGCAGTTTTAATGCTCTTTATCACTAATCACAATACTTCCAAATATCCATTTCCATATTCCCACCTGTAAATCAAGAAATAAACAATGGCATTTCAGTTTGAGGACTGTAATCAATTTGTATTTCATGTTTTTGCCAGCTGTTCTACTTGAATTGAAGGAAAGACTTGATCTGATAGAAGTACGGGTATAACTAGAAAAAAAAAAAAAAGTAGTTAAACTCCATGGGCTGACAGACTAATTAAATTCTGTAAAGTAAGGCTCATTTAACTTCTCATGTTACAGAGATTGCCTGCTAATCAATGAGCCAGTAGCTAAAAGACGACTGTAACTAAATTCAATTTAGAAACAGATTGGACATTGTGGCATTAAAGCTATCAGCTAAGGAACGACTTCAATACCTCAGGGCTGAATAATTCACCCTGCTAAAAAAAAAACCCCAAAAACCAAAACCAATAACCTTAAATACACACCGTATGTATTTCTGAAACACACTGTCCAGCCATACCCATTATTAATGATTCTAATGACAACCAGGTTATACTTGGTGATCCACACAATGCAGGAGCACAGGCTGGAAGCCACCTCAGTTCACCCTGGCATTCTAGTGACTTAAGTCAAGCTTATTAAAAGCAAGGCAGCCCTTGTAACAAACACCCTCAGAGTTCTGATTAGTATCTCCCAGACTAGTAGCAAGAATGCCCTCATCAGTGTAAACTGTCTCTTAGAAACACGGCTAGTGAATAAATCTCTTTGGCTGATGATTTTAGTCTTCTGTTGTTACAGAAAATCATGTCATATAAATTTCATTCCAAAACTGACCAAGCTTTTCTGTTTTGGAAGACTACTGAATCACTCTGGTGATGGAAAACCTCCTCCTAATTTCCCACTTAAACATATGCATGGGCTGTTTATACTAAATAAGCTCAATATCACAGCAATATTATCCTTCAGTTTAAACAGTTCTTTCTTGTTAATCTTAAGCAAATGTCTAATGCCATCTCTAGGAGTCTGTGTAAAGGGTCTACAGAGCTCTTCAACCATCCCAGATTCTATGCTGCTTCAGACTGCCTTGTGTATATACACTACCATCTATGCTACCACCTGAAGTATACCAGAGGGAACACCTCTGATGTTGAAAGGATTACTAGTTCCTCTAGTCTATATAAAATTAATCCCAATCTATAGTTCATGTAATAATTACTGCTTCTTCTAGGAAGGTACAAAAAAACCCAGTTTCAGAACAATAAATGTAGTTCAATGATATCAGGTACAATACAGTGCATAACGGTGAAAGAAGCTGAGCTGAGGCGATTGAATAAACTTTCTCAGAACCATGTAGTCACCATCCGGCATATGACTTTGGTTCACTAGTGACCTGTGCCACGTTTGATGGTGTTAATGTACATTCCGCTAGGATGGAATGAAGAAAATAGCAGGCTGCACAGCAGAATAAAATGTTTAAATTACGATATAAGAAACAATTGTAAAATCTACTTTGCAGTTGATTCACAATACACCCTTGTGCTTCTCACATTGTGTACGACACACTATAAAGCTGACACTGGAGTATACAACTCTATTTACCTGGAGTAATCGCAGTAAACCTCAAGTGTCTGTATATCTAATAATAAACCACACCACGGGATCAAACGACAATCTGGCAGCTGTTTAAATTTGGAACATCCTGGGATATCATCAACAGGAAAATTCACGACTGTCTTATTGGGGTTTATTAAAAAGCCATACTCAGGAATACCTGTCGCTAGAGTCCTAAAACAGATATAAACAGTTAGCCTAACTCTCCCCACAAAAGCAAACAAAAAACCCCACCATGCTGCCAGACACACTGGATCTTGCATAAAAGGACAGAAACCAAAGAATAAAGGGAACCATGGCGAACTCTTTAGGTTAAGGAACACAGCTAGAAATAAACAAAACTGAAGATACTAGAGGTAAATAAATACATTAAATAAATTAATAAGCTTAAGGATATGAGGATAATGGAGAAAAACTTACAAATTAATGCAAACTAAGAACAGAAGGCATGAAATGTTTGAGACAAGCTGCATAAACCACACTCACAGACACCATTGAGATCAAAATCACTGGAAAAAGACGGATGAAAAGTTATTGTTTTTGAAGGTTAATGAACACAAGCAGAATCCACATAACAGGAACCTCATGTATCTGATGAAAAGTTTTGAACTTTCTCCACAAGTTTTCCCTAAGGACGTTTTCATTGCCACAATGCCTGCTGATTACCTACTGCACACTGGATCAGCAGTGTCATCTCATGGACAAGCAGCAGTTTGTCTTACTTGGTGATGTAATTATGTGCAGGCTTCATCCTTTTAAAGAGTGAGAGGAAGAGGTTAGGCTTTTCTTGTTGGGGAGTAATAGCCATAACACTGTCTCCTCAGAATTAATTTCTTGAGTCCCCCAGTTCTAACACTACACCAGAAAAACTGTTACACTCTACTTGCGGCTGAGAGTTCATATGATCTGTAAGCAGTTGTGGAAAACTTGCACAGGAGAGGCTACTTGTCTACAGAAAATCAACACAACTGGTGCAGAAACTGATGTAGGACAAAGGTGCTGATAACTTCAAAGGGCAAACAGGACAATATCTGCAATGCTACTGCAAGTGACATTATGCTGAAAAGATGTTATAGAGATCAACAGCTCGAGGCATCTCCAGCCTCTTAGTCTGATGTATTTCCAGAACTGTAAATCTGCACATGCCCAGAAATTTCTTTCTGTTCTGATAAGCAAATGAAGACAAATGAAGTCTTCAAAGACTACCCACTATTTAGTACAATTTATACTTCAAACTGTACTTCATTGATTGTCCCATCACCTTTCAGGCTCACAAAAGAGCTGCATCTTTCTGACTGTTGAAAAGCATGATACAAATGACTACATTGCAGATGCTAAGCTTTTCTTCAAGTCCTCTCCTTTGGATCCTTAAAACTGGCTTTGGCATCAGCAGAACAGTTCTTCAATACTGACTATACATTCATATCCATGGTAACCAGGAACCTCTTTTGGGGCCCAATTTAAAAAAAAAAAAAAAAAAGGTAGTTCTGAAACAATCTAAAGATTTACTGTTTGAAAACTTGTGTAAGCTGCATGCTGCCATGCTATCAGTATCTTCAAATACTCATCCCAGAATATTAATTACTAGAAAATTCTTAGCAAAACTGGATCAGAGAAAAGTTGCATTCTTTCCCCAGGAATAGAAGGTAGCAGCACATCTGCCCGATAAAAACATTTTAAGAATGTGACTGAGACATCTTAAATGTCTGAGGGGAAAATGGTCTTAAAAAACAACTGTCAGCTGCTTTGGTTAGTCTGCACTATTAATTGCTGCTAGAAGGTACCTAGGTCCCTAATTTAAACCTCAGCAGGCATCCCCCACCATCTGAGCTGCAACAGATTGTTAGCTGGCCATGAAGAATGTAGCTATTAGGATTCTGCCCAGGCACAGGCTACCGGCAAGGACTTCAAAACAAACCCCTTGATTATTAACCCATAAAACAAATATACCTGTATGTACAACCATGTATAAAGATGAAGAAGAATGACCTTAAAAGGTGTTAATGTTTATTACTCTGAAGACTATGTCTTTAATAGCATACCTTAGAAAAGTTCTTGCCTGCATTAAATGTGGCGTAACGAGCAAAAAGTCATCAATGAGACGTATTAGGACTCTGTAATCAAGAAGAAACTGATGTTAGATCTTTTGATATGTAATCCTTTCAAATTTTTGTCACACTCTTCAGAGCAACAACGTGCCCGTTTTAATTCACAAGAAGGTAGAGGCCAATATGATCTCCAAATCGAGTCTCATGAAGAAATTCTCAGTTCTGCTTCTTTCCTAAAAATAAATGAAAAAAAAATAAATAAGAAAGCAAAGGGGCTGGCTACATGAAACATGATAGGAATTTACAGCACACAAGCTACTCCACAGTAGCTTCTTGGATGCAGGGGTTTACACTTTTCCAAGGGAGAATTTGCAGTATCTTAATACACAACACAAGGAAAGGAAGTGTAATACCAGATACACACGCAGATATTAGACTCCTGATGTGCCCTAATTCTTTATCTTTTTTTACCGTGTAATAACTTGCTTGTGAAGCTATAAGTTGAATGTAGAACAGACTACAGTCTACCACTGTAAAGGCTGGAATTTTCTATTTCAACAGAATTCAGGCCCCAAGCATGCCCATATTTTTCTGATAAATCCTGCCTAGTCGATCATAGAGAGGAAGCTCTGGAGATGATCTTGCCCCATATCCTTTTCAAAGCAGGAGTACTGCCATCACTATGATCAGATCAGCTGTATCTTTGCCTAGCCAAGTCAACAGGCAGGTTATTTTTTTGATTAAAAGGCCAAATGAAGCTATCAAAATCATTCAGCAGACACCAAAGTAACATTCTAAAATCTGCTCTCTATAAAAACAGCTGCTATATAATAATACCAGTTTCTGAACCAGTTTCATAATTTCGTATGTATAAACAAAATCCTTTGAAAGCAAGAGATGGCTGTTTACACTCATATCATCACAGCACCCTAATACCTGTGAGAATTCTACTACTTGTATAGGGAAATGTTTAGAATTCTGAGACTTTCCCTTACCTCGTGAGCCTCCCAAGAAGACACCAGACAGATGCACTTATCTGGAATACTCCTACACACTTCTTAGTTGTTGTTTTTCTTTCTTAGGACAGAATTCACAGCAATGGAGGGAGATGTGTGAACACAGAGAAGCTTCACAGGGCTCACCAATATCTAGCTCTTGCCTAAAGACCCTAATCTGGGATTCAGCTGGGGATCAGTTTATATGGAGGTAAAAGGGACCCTAAAGTTTTTATGGCTAATAAAGCAGCAGAGGTTTTACCAGGCTAGCTTTCTGTCAAGCTCCTTAGAAGCAAGCACGAGCAGAGCATAAACACTTAGAAGACGTACCAAGAGCCACAGAGGGCTTCAAACAAGAACCAACATGCCTTGTAAAAGATCTGCAATAAAGCTGTGACCTTGATAAAATGTTAAGATTTACAGATGGTGGATTGGAAAGCCCCCAGGCAGAAGCCTGGAGTTTCAGAAAGCCTGTAACAAACATCCCATCTCGTTTGAGGACAAAGACCACAAATTTTGTGGTAATGAGTGTGAGAGAACCATAAACTTCTTACATGTAAAAGAAGAGCTTGTCAGACTCTTTACAGCATCCCTAAATACTGTGCTCTTTGTAAGAACACATCTGCCATCCACAGATCTGGGACAGCTCCTTTTCAGCACTTTTCTTCCCAGACTTTATGACAAACAGGGAAATTCCCTCACAAAACCACCACAGTAACACTGAAGCTGCAGAGATCTTTGCGTGCACCACGCTTCCTAAAGGAAAGCTGGAAATCCTTGAAATGCAAAATTAAACTTCAGAGAAAATGTCACACATATACTATATATAATATATATACTATGTATATACTAAACCCACATGTACTATGTATTATGCATTACTATAACAGAGCACAGAAGAAAGCATTCCTACCCATCCTGCTGTACTCCACAGAGCAATTTATTTTCCATGTCTCCATAGCATAAGCTGCAAAGTAAGGTTGACAAAATGGAGCCCTGTGGAATTCCACAGCACTGTAAGTAGTACCTAGTAAAGAATAAAAGAGGAAAAAAAAAATCAAAACATGCAACAAGAAGATCCCAATAGTCATTAAACATTCACTTTTTTTTTTTTCTCCCAAGTATAACATAGATTTCAATAAGAAATATGCTACATGCTTCCTACCTAGCCTTACTTAAATTTGTTTGTTCTTTCTTCTGGGAATCTACATATGGCTCCAGAAGTTTTAAGTTAAACAGTGAAGTAAAACACTAATACACACACTTCTTTGTTATTCAGAAACTCCAGTAGACAACTGTCATTTAAAGAAAGAAATTTTGTAACTGATCTCAAACCACAATTCCTCCTTCAGTTGCAGTCACCCTTCGTTTAAGCTTTGTAATTCTTTATGTTACATCTCACATAGCTTCAACACAAGTGTTCTTGTACAAGAAACAAAGTGCACTGGTCAAATCTTTCAAACTATAATTTGTTTTAAATTATTATCCAAACAGCTCCTAGCAGGTACCCACTAAAAATCCATAGGTTGAAGCTCATACTGTACATCTACATCAGGAATTAAATTCAGGTGGATTTTGAGACACTTTCAATTTTTATAAGAAAACAAGCAGAGAAGAAACAGCAGACATCCACAACAAATATAAATGGTCATCGCTATCAAATCTTGCTAAGTTTTCTGGAAAAAAACCCACCCTCTTTCAGCAGCACAAGTCAGAGTAAAAATGTTTAACTATGAAGTAATTTAAATCAAGGTGTTTACTCTTCATTTATACTTGCATAGCATGATCTGGCTAAGGAAAATATTTTCTTGGGGGTTTGTTTTTGGGTTTTGTTTTGTTTTTCCACAAATAAATATCACTTTAATTTTAGGGAAATTTCTGAAGGCTTAGCCCAATAGAGCATGTGATCTGGTTTTATATATCCCAGCTATACTGTAAATCACATTTATTTCCTCATTTAACTGCTCAGACATGAAGCTATCTTACTTCTAATTAGGAAAAACCACTACATCTTATGCAGTGCTAACCCCTATTATTTGTAATTATACTCAACACCCCCCCGCCTTGAAAAGCTCACTGAAGTTGCCAGTTGTTATTTTGCAAGAGTAGATCTTGATTTGTTTCTCATGGCTTCAAAGAATTCATATAGACATAGCTGGAGGAGGTTCATTAATACTTTCCCTACCTTGTTACTTGTATAAAGCCAGTAAGAGCACACATAGCAATAGTAATGTATCACATCTAGATATGCTGCTGAAGACAGAGTTGTGGATTTTTCTATGTTGGTAGCAACGGAATGAGTATGCCTCACAAAAGCCAATGGAATTATTTTCACAACGCTCCTTTGAAGTAGTAAGATATTATGTTATAATGTCCATTTTACCATTACTACATGAATGGCTTAGTGAAACTGAAGAGAATGAAATTATGCAACTGGACACCAGAGCCACATTCTAGCAGTGATCTTACCTATGTTTTCAGTCCTCTGCAAATTTTTCCAGCAGTAATTTTACATTTTTCCAGACTTTTGATAGATATATCAAATGGTATGAAAAGATTCCCTTTAAGTCCCTAGCTCAACAATCAGCATTTTTCTCAAAACATCAAGTGAATGTTTGACCATCAGTTAAAGGGTGTATTAATTTACTGAATTTACTTGCAGTTTTGGGGTTTGGCTTTTTTTTTTTTTTTTTTTGAACAAATGAGAACGAGCTAATTAAAAAGGGCAAATTCATTCCAGGACAAAAAGTATTTTTTCAGCCAAGCTGTTACTGAATTTAAGTAAGTGCAAAGTTGCCTTTGTCAGGGTGTACTTTCTTTAAAAACACTAAACTTTTATTAAACATACTGATGTCAGTTAGTCCTTATTAATAGCATGCCACATCAGCATTCTTATGATCCTGCCAAAGGGAGTGTAAGCATCAATGCTAGAAAAACCTATAAACATTCTTCTATTTACCTCCTTTAAAGCTTTTCTCCCTCTCCCTCAATTCTGTGAGATTAAGTATTCTGAAATAAAGGCATTTTTTTCAAGACTAAGAAGCTATTCATTCTAATATATTGCACTCTGAATTTACAAATAAAGATCATAGAAGTACTTGCTTTCTAGACATGGTACACACATTTGCCACCTAAAGGCAAAATGTAAATACCAGATCAGCATTTCTAGCAACACAAGAAGAAATCTGCATTACTACCCTCTATAACATCTGATTCTTAGTTTTGCAGTTGCAAGTAATTTTAACTCCTATTGTTATTGCTTTTTGTTTTCATTGCAACTTGCCAAACAGCGAGGTCATGCAGAAAAGGTTTAATTTTGCACTACAGGGAAATGACTAACAAGGCTTTTGCATGATTACTTGGATGTTACCTTGCTTTTGTTCACCACTATGGATTCCAACATTTTAAAGTATTTTTCTTTTGAACTACATTTGCAGTTTTAAATGAAAAGGTTATATATTTTAGAATAATGCATTCTGTGTATAGTTAACATCATCCAGGTGGGAAAGAGCAATTTTATTCAAATACAAATTTGATTCCAAACTCTTCATGCTTTCATGGAACTTAAACTGATAAACAGATTTCAAATTAACATGAAATAAAAATCTTTGAAAGACAACTGTCAAAAATCCCCTAAGCCAATTAAAAGTATCCTGCTTAACAGCAAAAAATAATCAACCAAAAAAACCCAAACACATTATATGAAGAAAAACTAACTTCTTTTTTACCTGCTTCCAATCTCCAGGATGTTGTTATGTATCATTTGAAGAAAAAAAGTAAACAGGCTGGAGCTTGTCTCATTAAAAGTTAAGCTCTAGAAATGGGACAAAACAAAACAGGATTTGTAACTTAGAGATGTACCAAAACTAAAAATACAGTATAAACTTACAGGATACAAAGAAACCTTTATGAAAAGTTAAGACTTTAGTAGTTCAAACCCCTAAGGTAAGAAACAAAACTTGTAACACCAAGATCTGAATATACATGCTAAAAAGCTGCTCACATCCAACACCTGAAAGATGTAGTTCTTTTTGCTTTTGCCTTAGGAGAAAAGCAGTTTTGAATGGCATTACATGGGAAAAACAGTCAAATATAACATCTAAAAACGCTTTTTAAAGTGCTGGTGTATTATATTGCATTATTACAATGTATGAGACCTAACTCTTTTGGCCACTTTCTATCCTGCAGGACAACTTCTATAACTGCCATATTCTTTATGATTCCCCAAGTATAGACAGACTCACTTGCCAGTTCTGCTGCAAAACCCATTCTTTGCCACGTATTACCACAAATTCCATGCATGACTGTTCACCAAATATTTACAAAGCTTTTTGCGTTTAAAATTGTGTAATAACAAAATTAATTTAGATCAGTTTAAATCCCTTTAACAATGACTTCATGAGAACCAAAGCAAAACTATTTCCTATTAGCATATATTAGACATCAGACAAACACACCCAGCTTTAGATAGAGCCATGGGAGATCACGGTTAGTTGTAGTGAAAAGGTAACACGGTGCACCAGTAGTACAGATACCCAGACTGACATGATACTTCTCAGAACACTTTTTTTTTTTTTTTTTGAAGTAATGACACACATAAATTGTTTTCAAATGCAAAATCTTTTGAAAATAGAATGCTGCTGTTCATGCAATACCTAGCACACTTATCTGAATCAGATATCCACCGGAAAAAAAGAACAAAACAAAAATCTACATACACATCATCATAGATCCAGCTAGTTTTCATTTTCATCCATGAACTCATTAGGCTCTTCGCACTTTGCAGGATCCTGGAATTGTGCACCACCCACATTGTATATTCTACTCCTTTGTCCATAGATATACAAGATCATTTTACTTGTACATTAGAAGCATAAACTACCCTATGTCAAAATTTTCCACTGGCAATTTCAATTAGAGAGGAAGTAGCCTGTGAGAAAATACCTGTCTGGGCAGCTGATGCACAAGAATCTTGTAGGTTCTAATCATGGAACACCATGATACCAAGCAACAAAATGTATTAAAAAAGTGATTGAGCATATAATCTATTTCTATGTCTTTCTCTGTCATGCTCCTTGCACAGCAGCAAGTCTTGAGAACAAACATTTGGAATTAGTACAGTTCTCTGCTGCACCAAAATTATAACAACAGAAGGATGCTTGCTTCTTCTAACAAAGTGTCAGTTGGAGTAAATTTAAAATACATATCACTTTTAAGCATAATTTAATTCACTGAAAGTGAGAAATCTCTTTAAACAAACAAACAAAAAAATACAAGAGCTGATCTTGTTTTGTGCTGCATTTTAACTCTTCTAAAGAAGACTTCACTCTTGTCAACCTTGGCAGGTAATCATTAAAACAAGCTTTTTTTTTCCCCCCCTAAAAAAAGTCATTTTTCTATTCTGTTCAGTTTGCTATTCAAGATGCCACATTTATTTCTTTAGCAACTTAGCTTAGAATACGTTTTGCTCATTCTTACTTCTGTACGTTTTGGAAATAGCAAGTGTTAAAGACCTTCTCTACTAGATAGTTAATTTCTCACTTGAGTACAGTTGCAACAAAAAATGGAATTAGGAAAGGAAAAAGAAAACACTGGTTAAAATGAAAGTTTGAGACAACAATGAGAAAATCTGGGAAAAGTCTAGAAGGATATTTTGTCAGATTTCTTGCCTCGTGCACTCCTTCCACTGAACACTGAGAGCCTGTTATAATCATCAAAGAAGAGATGACAAAAATGTTTCTGCAGAAGGTGCCGGGTAACAAGAAGAGAGGTGGTGTCACCACATAATATGCATATTCAATTAAAAAATCTCAATCTTCCTCCAATTCTTCTGTGGCTTTCTTTTTCAGTTGAAAAGAAGCCTCCCAATATTTACCTGTTCAACTATTATTGCATTTTGCAATGAAGCATTCTCCTGAAGCTGGGACACAAATTGCTTCATATCTGGCATAAAATCCTTGAAAGTAGAAACCTGTATATTGAGTGCAAAGAAATAAATAACAAAAGCAATAGAAAATTCAGTACCAGACTCTTATTCAGTGAAGGTCAAAGGGCCAGCTTTATTGCATTATTTTAATCCAACAATTCTGCTATTGTAAAAATGAAGTATCTCCCTCACATATCTCTATTTCCACAATACATTGATCTTTATTCTTACTAATGCTGAGTAAAGAGTAAAAGGAAGCTTTGCTACCTCTGGAAAATATTCAACACTACTAAAAAAGGGTTTATGAAGTAATTTCCTTATTCAAATTATGAGTAAAAAAAAAAGCTATGAACAAAAAAAAAATTTCCTTTGACTGAAATATATCTACAGCAGCAAACAGAAGAAATCAGCAAGTCATACGTGTCTCCTATAGAATCTCCTGGCTTTTCCACTTGTGGTAATCATAATCACAGCATAGCGCCGTATGCAATAGACAGTTCTTTTCTCAGGGTTTAAGATCCGTGAAATCACTTCCACAAGTTTATTGTGAGGAATGGTATCATAAGCCCTGGACACATCAGCCTGAAACAGAAGAAATATCTGCCATTATGTATTCATCAGTATTACTGTAAACACTGTGGCAGTATGAGAAAAGAATTGTTGTAGTATGTGTGAACAAGGCTGAAGGATAAATCACATCAGAGTGAAATTACTGCATCATTCAGTCCAAACTTACGACAAAACAAAAACTCATTGCTTATCTGCAAAAACCCTTCCTCACTCATCAATGAGTCTTCCCTTACAAGGGATAACCAAACCATCAATTTTAACACAATTCTTGTTACTAACAGAAGATACTATATGCAACCTTAAATCTAACACTGAACCTTCAATCATTTAACTAAAGTTTATTGCTGATACTTTAATATGTTTAAATATTTTAAGAAACCTCCCTCTCCATATGATCATGGAGGTGGCATCTTAGGCTTCAGAAAGCAGCAAACCCAGATGTTTTACCTTTCCTAAACCTCATACTGCAATTTTAACTCTGCTTTTACTTGTCATAGTCAAAATTCAAAACCTGAAGAAGCAACAATCTTAGGAAAACTATGTAAATTACATTATTCTTTGGTTTGAAAGATAACGAGACAATCACTGACAATAAATTCAGGGCAGGATGACAGCTGAGATATGAGAGAGCACAGGAGAGGAACCCTAGTACAACATATACAAAACTGTGTAAGTTACATACATCTTTGTAAGTTGCCCCAATTCAAAGCTATGAATTGAGCTCAAACACAAAAGGTTGCCTGCTAGACATAACTGGAAAACAGAAGTTTTAAGAAGAAACTCCTTCAAATAGTGGGATATGACAAACACTCATTTTTTTTCAAGTGGGAAAAGAAACTTATTGGAGAGACACTAGAGTTCAAGTGTTGACTTTCAACAGAAACTAATGATACTGAGATAGAAGCGACCTATTTAAAAAAAAAAAAAAAACAAATAAAGGAAGTGCTACTGCAGGGACACCCTCCCCCTCAAAAAACCAACCAGAGTCTCTGTTGGGTATGCACAAAAGTTTATTTTGAAAAAGAAATAATTATGCACTCAGATCACAGTATCTGTACAAGCTGACTTTGAAAAGTCAGTTTGAATATGTAATTAAAAAGACATACCTTAACATAGTAGAAATGAGGAATTTCACCATCTGATTCAAGAACCTTTGTAACAAACTTCTTCCATGTCTTGTAGATATCATCTTTCCCAAACACTGACGAGCCGATAAAACTGGTGTTTATGGTCCGTTCATAATTTAACACACTAAATAGATTTTTTAGTTGAGTGTTGTAGTGATGCATCTACAGAGAGACCAAAGACAACCACCTTGAAGTATGCTGAAACATACTAAATTCTCTGCAATACACAGATTTCACGTTTAGATGAAATGTAAGATTAATTTTGTGTATTTACTATATTAGTCAACTGCAGTTTTCAGAAAGCCTGAATACAGCTACTGTCTCAGAGGTTTTTGGGGTTTTTGGTACATTTAAATCCTATGGTATGGAAAATGTTGGGTTTTTTCCTATACTTGACTCTCGGAAATCAAGGTGTAATAGTTAAGGACATAAATAGATGGACTCCAGCAAATACAACTGCCACCAATTAGAAGGTAACTTCTTAAATATCATTCATTCTCTCTGCTGGAGATTATCACTGCAAGAAGAACAGCAAAAAGAACATGTGCCCTGAGACTTCAGGCTAACTCCACCTGCACCATCAGTTCAGCCTCTGGAGGTATTTTATGCAAGTACATTAGCAAAGATTTAACTCTCAGCTATGGGAACAGTAAAATACACCAGAGTTGTGCAGGTTGATTAGCTCTGTAAACACCTTAAGGAAAAAACAATATTGACAGACCTGGTAAAAGAATGTTGAAAGGGCAAGCCATACTATTGAAGAAAATAAACAAACTCCACACATAGCATACTTATGAATCAGTTTAGAACTTCAGAGAAATCCTCCAAAAAGTATATACACAGAACATAAAAGGTTCTTATTCTCAATGGTAGTATTGTGATCATGACATGGATACACTGAAACTGCTAATTATGAAAGCATTGCAATTGCTTTCATATTGCAATTAATTGCAATTGCAATTAATGCACACATTTACGTACGCACTGAAGAAAATCAATTACAGGTTTCAGTGAAAAGCTGGCAAACAAGCACACCAAAAACATTTAGTGTACTACTGCCACTGCCTTGAAAACAACTTGATTCAACTTCACTGTTTTACGTAAGGTATTATGTTCGTTCATTGGCTGATCTTGCAAAATATTTTTGACCAGTTTATAATACAAAGAAAAATTAAGATGCTCTCCTGAATTATTGCAGTGGTATCTTTTCTGTTATAGGCCAAGTTTCTAAGGAAAAAAAGTCAAAAGGGTAGAGACATAGATCAAAGGTAAACAGAAGCAGCAAGATCAAAGCAATCATCAGTAGAAAAGTTCCTCCTTTCCTTCTTAATGAGCCTATCCCAGGATGGTTGTTTTTTCACAAAAAACACACCTTCGCCTTTTCACAAAGCTGATGGCCATATGGGTGTTAGCAGGTGAGTCAATAAAAGAAAATTGAGACTGATTTGAAACCCAGTTTGAACTAGACCTGAGGGACTTGGAGATGCAGAATTCACAGTAGCTCATTTTCACGTTACAAGGAATTCCCTCGAGCCTCTTAATTCCCCAGAACAGGTCTAATCCACAGTGTTGTTAACATTTTTGCAAAACCTAAAGATCTGCTAGAATCTCTGAAGAATGCAATAAAAGACTATAAACTCTCAGACAAATCAGATCTTTTAGAACCCTGCTGCCTCCCAGTGCTTTGAGCTTCCCATTAAAAATAAAAAATAAAAAAATTGGTTTAAACGAAAAAAGGAAGAAGGATGTAAAGCAAATACATAAAACCTTTGAAACAAAACAAAATCCACAGTGATTTGAGGATAAATTCACAGAACTGGACTCATTCCACCATGTGTTTTGCAGCAATGTTTGAGAGTTGCCCAAGAATCAGAAGTTGGTTTGCTGGATATTTGGGAGATTATCTCCAGTAGTTCATCTGGATATATTCCAGTGTTGAGCTACAGAAGCTGGCCAAGACTACCCCTACAATTCTAAACTGGTTTCCAAATTCCAAAACTTGGAGTATTGTCAGACAGAAAGAACTGGAAGATTGTCTCCCTTCTACAATTTAAATGCTAGGAGGAAAGTAGAGAGCAGAGACAAGTTGGATATCGTACAAGATGAAAAACTGGAAAAGAGTGCAGGACAAAATGCCATGTTTGCCAAACAAACCAAGTAACCATGTAAGTTTGGGGGGAAAAAAAAGAATTAAAAAAAAGAGAAGAAAAAAAAAAGATGAAATCACTTCCATTAGGTTGGAAGCCCTGAATTCATAAATAAGATGATCATTTTACACTAGACACTTCTCTCAGCCAGCTATCTGAGAAGAGAGGTAATACTATCACCACCTTTCATGGATTTATGAAAGTTATTATCTATGCTTTGTGATTACCTTAGACAGATGGTTCTGTCTAACAGCTGAAGACCTTCGTGTCTTCGGGTTTTTGTCAAAACTCTCCAACAAGTCTATTGCTTGGACTTTTCAGCAGATGTAGATATTCCCTCTCACCTCCAGGGCAGCCAGGTTAGCTCAAACCACTTGCCCAGCTATCACGGTTGACTTCGAACCTTCATCTTCTTCAGTATATCCATGACATTCTTTATGCCAGATCTGCTACAGGACCAACAGCACCTTTAAAGTACTGCAGCTATTTCCAAGTTAACTGTGTGCATACTCTCAAATCTGACAGTCTGATTGTCACAGAAATGACTGTGAAGAAACAACACTTCAGAACAGTTTTTAGTTGATGCTCTGTAAATTTGGTCTGGGACCACATATTGAACAGTAAGTACTAAGAAGCCATTGACCTCTCACCCATTTGAGGAACATTTAACCTTGTGCACTAAACAGGACTCAGCCTCAAGGAAAAACAATTAATGCAGTCATGCAAGATAGTGAAACTGGGTTCCCACTATGTTTTGTGGTTAACTGGCCTGGTAAATAGATTATTCTGTGCACTGTGTGTTCTGTCTCTGTTCCCACACTGCAGTAATTTCCAGTTTCCTTCCTATCAGCCTACTATGCTTGATCCAGCTTCCTCGCCCTTCTTAGACCTTCTTCTGTCACACACTCAATTCACCACTCTTCATCCCCCTGGGCTGACTGGGCACCACAGCCAACTAGCCGATCAATGTGCACAATCAGAATTCAGGTAAATCCCAACAGGTTGGACTCATCTGCCCCTCACCCTCTGGTGTGCCAAACAAATACGACATGTTAGTTCAGAATACTGAGTATCTTTGAGATTTCCATCCTTCTACTCCCATAGATGGCCAATGCCTACCACAACCAGACACAGTTAGCAAGCCTGAGGGAAAGGAATGGAAAGAGAAAAGAAGAGAAAGAAAACATGATTACCTGACAGGCCATGCCAGAAGTATGTGATTCTGAAATTGGAGGCTAATGGTAATTAAGCAATGGGAAAAGAGAAGCTAAGTTGCAACAGGCAGACCCACTCAGTCATTCTGATTTGAATGTTCCAGTTGAGCACGTTAAAAGTAGTTTTACAGAACATAAAAATGCCACCTCACTTGCTTTATTAGCTGCCTACATCAAACCCACATAAAACAATAAAGAAAATAAAAACCTTCTTTTCTCTGCTTTCCCTGCTGAATGCTCGTGCCTCAACAACACCGCTCACTTTTACTATGGGTCTTAAACCATTCGCTTTGGGAATGAACCGGAGCTTTGATGCCATAGGAGCATATTTTTTTTGACGGACAGCTTCAATCTCCTCTGAAGATAAAGCACGTAGATGTACTTTGGCAAAATGGTTTCTAAAATAGAAACACATGTTTAGTGTAAGCAATAGGAAAGACAGTAAGTTAAAACATTTAATCTCTTTATGATAACTGACGCCAAATATTTTACTAAGAAGATAATTACAAATACTAACCACTGCAGAAAGTGACATGGAAATCTGAATTTCAGAACAATTTCATGGTATCTTAATGACAATGTAATACAATAATAAGGAAGGACACATCTGCTTGATGCAAATTACAATAATAATAAAAAAATCTTAATTAACACAAATGAAAATTTAAGCACAGATTAGCCCACTACATTTGAACATTATGAAGTATTTTTTTATGCAAGGCGACAGGAAGTTGGATATTACTCATGGTTTCAGAAGAATACATATACAACAAAAGGGCATTTAGATCTCCAGTAACACGATTCAAAAGAACCTATCTGCTGAGCAGGCATCAGCTCAAGTGAACAGCAGAGAATAATGAAGAACTGAAGGCTCCTAAGTCACAGATTCTGAGCTCTCTAAGTCTGTCTTACCAGGAAATGTGTTTTCCCCTCAGATACCTCCATCAGGACTTAGTGTTCAGTGTGGCTTAGTCCAAATCAATACTTTCCCATGCAATGAGGCAGGAAAAAGGACACGGTGCAAAAGCCTTTGCTTTTACTTAAGATTATATTGTTAAAGTGGCCTACTTGCAATGCAAAAGACCCGGATCACTCTCCTGCACTGCTTCAGAAGGGCAGAATGTGCCATTCCAAAAAGCCCTACAGCCTAGTGGTTAGGATACTCCCCGGGGAAGTAAAGCGAGATGATTTAAATCCCTTCAGAAGAGGGGATGCAAATCTAAATTTGCATGCAGATTTTTCTCATCCCACACCAACCAACAGGCTGGTTTAGCAAAAGAAGGCCATATTATCACGTGGTCTGTACCCTTGAGATTCTGCACAGGAAGATCTACTCATACAGACAGCCCTTCAGGATTGGGATTTACCCCCTAATGACAACACAGTGCAAAAGCAAGCTCATGAGTAGAATCCAGGTCCACTTGGTCCAGCCTGTTTCACACATCCTCTTCCTCCCAAAGGAGGATGCAAAAGAACTGAAAAGGCATCAGTGGCTACACTTGGCTGTGAACATCTTCCGGCAAGCCAGATCAGAGCAATTGCCATGAGCAGCTCCAGCTGAAGAGGAGTAAGGACCAGGACAGCCACAGAAAACCCATTAAGGCAACAACTGAGGCCACCAGATACTCTTCCTCCAAGGAAGGTGGGAGCAACTCAACAGCCTCTAGCACCAATTTCACCGAAAACACTGCCTGGGTAAGAGGGAATGGTGCCTGGAGAGGCGTGAAATGGCCAAGGAAGCACAGGAAGCCCTGAACAGCTGTTTCACCATATCTCTAAACCCAAATTTCTCTCCTCCCATGTGAAGTGGACAGCTTGCCACCTGTACAAACGCAGGAAGCTGGATTAGTAGAACTCACATTGCACAGCACACTCAAAAAAGCAGAGTACTGAAAGCCCTAGCCTTGTGAGTGAAGCTGAAGTGCAGCTGCTGGGGTCAGACCAGAAGTCCGCGTAGCTACGTATCCTGCAGCGAACAGCAAACACGCTGTCCTTAGAGCATGCCCTTGGGAAGCATGCAGCAGTACTTCCTCAGGGCGCTTCCCCAACTTCCAGTAATCTGCAGTTCAGGGACTTCCCGAGCCAAAGGTGAGAAGGGGCTTCCTGCACGGTGGGGAAATATGTGGTGAGGAAATCAGAAGAAATGTGATCAGCCCAGATTAGGGTCTTTTGAGTTCAGAGCACCTTGTCCTTACACATTGGGTTTTTCTGGGAAACTGTGAATATATATATATATATATATATACACACACCCCCAAACATATTTGTTTTCTTTCAATCACATACCCCACTAAAACCAGCATTATATCTAATACGTAAAAGTTAGTATTTGATGACACTGTAAGCCAAAAAGTAGCCTTTGAAGTACATTAAAACTACATAAACCACTAATTGCAACCCTAAGGCTGTTAGGTCAAAGACAAGACAAACGGAACATATGGGATTGAATTACATTCTACTACTACTATTTAAATTGCATTTTCTGTGCTACAGCTGCAAACAAGATCAAGGCCCTATTAAGTACAAACAGATAAGCAGAAGAGCTGCACTGGAGATATACCAATGTTGAAATCAGGGAGCGGCAGGGCAGGAGGGGAAGGGGGGGAAATTCACACATTTAACATTGTAGACCAACAGACCACTGTGAAAGCAAAAAGTTTACCATATCAAATGGCCATTAAAACAGAAGACATCAAGTATGCTCATTTTGCACCATTCCAAAGCGCTTTCAGACACCAACAATTTATAATGAAAACCCAAAAGATGTGAACTATGGAGATGTGTGCACAATACTGTTCATTAAAATTGCCTTTAGATCTTTCCTATTTTCTCACTCAATTGCTTAAAATTTGATCTTAAATAATGCCCTAACTTACATACATGCATGCATTTTTAAGACAAAAAAAGTAGCATGGAATTCCAGAGCCACACTAAAAAAGAAGCTGCAAAAAAGCTTTTAAATCCCTCAACTTAAAAAAAAAACCCCAAAACCAAAAAACCCACAAAAACCAACCAACCAAAAACTCCCACAGTACTACTGTCTGAATTTATGAATAGAGTATTACAGCATTTCAACAGAGATTTGTTTTTTAAAATTAAAGCAGTTGAAGCAAAATGAGTATTTTTAAAATTAACTTTCTCAAGGTTACTTTGGGATTCTGTCACTATGCTTTACTTGTTGTTAAAAGTTGTAAAGAAGTGACTTACCAAAACAAAATCTTCTTCATAATGGATTTTATTATTGCAAAGGTTTCTCTTCTCCTACCAAAGAATTCTAAATTTTAATCAGTTTTCTCTACACAAAATATTTCTGAGTTTACAAGCTGTGCATACTACAATGACAGGTTGGATTTTCTTTTGGGAAATTAAGCAAATAAAAGAAAGATAAATGGGCCATAAATTAAAGTAGAATTACAACTTTACACTACAAAACATGAGATTTCCACATATTCCATTAATGTTTGATTAGTTTTCCAATGTTACCTAATTCCAATGTTCTGTAACTTGCCCCAAATAAACTTTCGGTAGTAGAAAAGCATGTTTTTCTGGAACATGGTCTCGGTGATATAGAAAAATGATCTGAGCAACTCAACAACATAGGTATCCATCAGCCAGTATAGGAATTTAGCCAAAAGCTCTTCACGGAAACAGTGTTCATAGGCAGGAACAAAGTGATCACCTTCAATAAACAATTCAAAGGTAGTTATAGTAAAAATCAACTATTTGTATTAGTAAAGAAACAGAACATACAAGCAAAAAAAACAACACATAACACACTTTTCTTAGCTTGAGGTTAATGGAAAGAAAAAAAGCAAATACAAACAATTGCACAGCTATTGCTCCAAATTTTCACTGGCATTAAATAATGTGGCTGACCCAAGCATAAAGTACAAACATAGAAACTAATTTGCAGTGACAAATTGACATACAGGATACAAATACATGCCATTAGTAGCCCAAAGACTTACTTTCTTCCCCCAACGCTGGTTGTGCAAGACCTTTAATGCACAATGGCAAGATTATTGTGAAGGGAAAAGTGAAATGGAAATAAGCCTACTACAATATAAAATTTAAAAAAAAAACAAAAAACCACAAAAGAATGAAAATACTTAGGTAACAGAATTAAACTGGCCTGACTTGGGGATGAGAGTGATATTCAGATTTCCCAATTACATGAAAATTAATTTCAGGGTTAGGCTTTATTTCAGACATCCTATATAAAACTTGTTGCTGCAGTTAAAAAAAAAAAAATCATCCTAAGTCCATCAGCACAAAAATTATGAACTTTACTAGCTACTGTCAAATTTAAGGCCACATAGATTTGTAGTGATGTCTAAATCTGGATAAGTGAGAAGGGAATAAAACCCCATGCTACAATACTGAATTTTTGCCAACTTCCAGTGACACCTTTTCTAATTAAAAAGTAGAATTTAGCAAAATACAACAGGATAATTTGAAGAAATTATACAGAAATATTAGTTTAGCTGCATGATTATGGCACAAATGTGTTAAAACCAGCTTACTTTTGACACAACAGAGCTGAGGCTTAAAACTGAAACTTATAAAATGGAAATAAGTTTCCAGTTCTCTACCCTGTTTGCTTTTTGTGCACTTCAGGGCGGAGACATTTTCACATATTTACAGCACCTAAGAAAAGACTACCACAAAGAGATAAAACAGTGCTCACTTCAACAGAAGTCAGGTAACATTAATGAAAAAACCCAGTGATTGTCAGAAAATTCTCTAACTGAAGAGTTGCAATATGCAGTTGTGATACACAAATTAAATCAGAATGTTGCTAAGTAGCTGTCCTGGAACTAGATAATTTGTTTTCTAAGTTCTTGACAGCAGATGTAAATGATGAGTACAATTCAGGGAACTGACAAAAACCCACTACTATTACTTTTAGAGAAAAAAAGAAAGAAAGAAAGAAAACCAAACCACCCACAGTGCAGCAAAGCAATTAAACGTGTGTTTAAACTTCAAGCACAAGGGAGTAGTTTCATGAAAATTAAAATCAAGCTATGTGTTGCTTTTCCTGGAATAAGGCCAGAGAATAAGAGACTATTACATTTTTTTTAAGATAAGATCTTCCAAATGACTATGAACTAAACATATATTTTACAATAAAAAAACCTTTTAAAATATTTAACTCCTCAGCATTTTGAAAAGCATATTTTTGAGCCACAGTTTCTGAATAAAGAATCGATATATTTACCAGAACAAACAGTTTCTTAAGGAAGTCTAACCTCCCCTATTTTTGACATCAGTTCTCAAACATCAGACTTTTTATTTTCCTCCTACATTACAAAGAAGCTTTAGTAATTTCAGAACCTTATCACACCTTTTAAAAATGAATACCATTTTCAGCTCACATTACTGTAGGATCCAAGAACATGACCAGGTAAGAATAAATACTGCAAACATAGCAGTTAAGGAAGTGCAATCCACATTGTATGAATGGAAGCACAGAAAAAATGACAATATGCCTTAGAACCTACAGCAATCAACCACAGAACCACAGCTTCAGCCTAGATTTAAGTCCTAGGAGAGTGTCTGAAGAAAGACTTCAAGGAAGCAAGATTTACCAGTTATCATCTGAAAAGAGGACTAAACACAAGGGATTTGTACAGAATTTGGAGCAATCAGCTGATGCCATCACAACAGTTTTCAGCCAGGGACCACTTGGTCTGGTGACCTCTGCACCACCAACTACCCAGCCTGACGTAGTGCTCAGTAACGGTCTGTTGTTCCCAGAGAAGGGCTCTAGAAAGGCAACTGATGGTGGGCAGCCCTGTATTGCGTGGGTCCCATACTTGTCTTTCTCACAGGGTTGATTTGGAGTGGGGGGAGCCACGCTGTGGGATGAAGGTTCACTCCCATAGCAGAGGAACACAAGCCACTACAGCTGTCTTGATTTGCCTTTAGTTCTTTCTGAAGGCTTACAGTAACCAACAGGCAGACTGCATTTGTTCTTTACGTGCCTATGTCATACTTCAATGGATTTTCAGAACTACTGCAATTTGGAGGGTAGGGGGTAGAAGGGAGTTTCCTTGAATGGCCCAGGTTCTGAATTCATGTTTATGAAACACAAAATTAAACACAAAAAGCGTGAATGAAAACAATAAAAATAAGTTTTGGAAGGAAGACAGGTTTAAGTGTTCTTCCACCATCAATTACAAACACTACTAGGCTTGCTCTCTCAGCTCTGGTTATTACCAATGAACCCAACAACTCTGAATACAGATTCAATATCCTCCCCTTCCCACCTTAAACATGAACACCAGTCATCTGACACCCCCACCACTTAGTTCTTTAATGTAAGAAGTACCTTTGACTAGACGAAGCCACACGCAGTCATTCACTCTCATCTTCCACATCAACTCCTGCAATGAAAGCTTAGCAAACTTCCCCATGGAAATGAATGCTTTCACATTTTTTAAGAACCGGCACTTGTTATGGTTTGAACCCCAAAGCTCAGCGGGGATGACCCGCTCCAGGCACTCCCTCACAAAGATGTACACCTGCCAGTGGCTGGGGGGGTCGGTTGGGGGGGCTCCCACACGTGG